GCCCATTCCACTACGCACGACGCTCGAGGAAAATTATCTGATCAACCCGGAGGAGCTGGAGAAGACGCTAACGACGCATCCGGACGCCAAGGCCATCATCCTGTGCAACCCGAGTAACCCATCGGGAACCCTACACAGCCCTGAGCACCTCGAGCTGATCGCCACTGTACTGCGCAAGCCACAGTTCCGCCACATCGTGGTTGTCTCGGACGAGATTTACGAACAACTGCTTTACCAGGACGAGGGCGCGCCAGAGCGCAAGCACGTGAGCTTCGCCACGCTACCGGGTATGTACGAACGCACGCTGCTGGTGAATGGATTCTCCAAAGCACATGCCATGACTGGTCTGCGCGTGGGCTTCCTCGCCGCACCCAAGTACTACATCGACCCGTGCACGCTGCTACAGGCTCAGTTGACGTCGTGTCCGAATACAGTAGGCCAAGTGGCTGCCGTGGAGGCGCTCAAGTACGAGTTGGAGTGCATGGACAAGGGGGAGCGCCGCATCACGGAGGTGATGAAGAACCTTGACACCAAACGCCGCTACATCGTCAAGCGACTGACGGCCATGCCCAACGTGCGATTTGCGTATCCAACGTCGGCGTTCTACGTGTTCCTGGATCTGTCGTCGTACTTTAAGGACAAGAAGGCTTTCACTGCTGACAAGAGCGTGGCGCTCATGAGCGTCGACGACTTCTGCGCTCACTTGTTGCAGGATTCGCATATCGCCGTGGTGCCTGGATCGGAGTTCGGTGACGAGTTCGGCATGCGCATTTCATACGCAAGCTCAATGGAGGCGATCGCTCACGCAATGGACGGCATGGAGAACTTGCTGAAATCTCTGGTCTTCGAGTAGTTTTGTACGTAGTTGAGAAAGGTGTACTGAAGTAATTGTTTCAATGCAACAGCAATATAATGTGGTAGTTGCGCTTCGTTGTGATGGTTCGGATAAACTGTTGTTGCGGCCCAAAGGTACCTCAAAAAGAGACCAGCATGGAAGCCGATACAAAAGGGTCCATTTCTCGCGGACCGCAACAATCGTTAGATTGCATGTTGAAGTGTTATATGACCGTACTTTACCAGATTTGTGCCATCCTTGCTTTTGACTTTCACCCAACATGGCACTAAATAATCAGATCGAATGGACGCAGCGACGGAAGGGATCGTGCTGGACGACAACAGCGACGCTCCATCTGACCAAGAGATGGCTCGAACGTCAGCGTCTACGTCCCTCCAATGTCTCCAGTACCGCAACCGATGCACAATCACTCCACCGTCTACGCGGGGCGGCGCTGGCGATGGCTGCTGCTCTTGAGACGAAGGAACCCAGCGCCAATCGGAGCACGGTCAAAAAGCGTAATAGAACACCTAGGGATCAATCGACGAAGAAGAAAGCAACCAACAGAAAGGCTGATGTAAGTGATCGATCTGGAGACTCCGAACCGAAATTCTCAACAACGATACGCGATACATCGGCGTCTCTATCGCGGCCCCCATTACCCAAACCAGTGCCAGCGAGGAAATCCGTGGCGGCGCCATATACTGCTGCACAACGGACAAGTCAAGTGCGTGGAAGAGAGACGGACGTGTTTGGCCGATATGACTGCCGTAAATCTGATTCTGCAACCAAAATACCAACAAGCAAAGCGAAGTCTGTCTCGCCGTCATCAGCGTCTGCAGTTACTGAAAATTCGTTGTCTCCACCGTCACCATTACCAGAACCGAGAAAGAAGCGGAGAGTATTTACTTACCTCGACACAGATCACGTGGCGCTCGTTGACCTGCAGGCTCAAGAGCGAGAGCTGGCGTGGATTCAGTCGCAGCACACGCAGATTCAAAATACATCTCGTCCCACCAAGCCTGCTGCGCAGAAGCGCAAGACGTGTCATGAAACTTATATGGACGGCAACTCGGATGCCAATAGCGTGGTTTACTCGGTAGAACCAGCAGAAAGCGATTACTTCCAAGCTCAAAGCAAGACGAAGGTCAATCAACCAGTTGCGACCGATCGAATGCCTCCGCCATATTCGCGTAATGTGATGATTCACCCCACAGCATATCGCGGTGTTTATTTCGACGAAGCCCCCATTAAACATTCTTCCTCCATGTGGCCAGACGTGAAGTGATCCGTTCGAATCGAGTTGCGACCACCCGCTGACATTCTATGGTATGGTAGTGCTCTTGGTCACTTATCGTACCTTGCTCATTATTATTGCTCATTATTCATGCTGTTGTCATTGATCGCCAGACGAAACAGACACTTTGGCAAGTTACTGCGCGATACTGGACAACTTCGGCCAGCCGACTCAGTGCATTTCATCCGTGTTTCCAGTCGAGGAGGCAAAGCCACAAAGCGATGTCACTCTCGCAGTGAGCTTCCTGGTAACGGCACATCTCCCTATTATTCGCCGCTGTCATCGAAGGAAGGTGCAAGCGATCCTGGCAGAGGCTCGCTGGAAGATTGCAGCTTATCAAGCAGCATTGAAGACGCCCAAGAAAGGCCCACGTGGTAAGAATGGTATGATGTTCATGTGATATACTCGTTTTTATAAGGTATTGGCTGGTTAATGTTGCTGTTTGTGGATATGTAGAGATGAGATCGCATGTGCTTCCCCACCCGACAGTCGAGAAGCACGCCGTGAGGCAATGTAAAGCAGCGCAACACCCGTGCAGAGGAAGCGTCTTGTTTCAAATTGGTCGTGGTGACAGCTTCGTGCGAGAGAGAATCGTGTCGTCCCTGATCCAGATTAACCGGGTTGAAATGACTCGATCTCTGTGGAAGTATACGGCGAGCATTGGGTTGCGTGCCAACTATCGCGTTGATGACGACCCGATCCTACGCTACACGGCTAGTACAAGACGGAATGGAACTGACGGAGGTGAGTTGGCGAAGAAGTACAGGTTACAGATAGGCAGCGTGGCTGATGAAGAGGTAGCGGAATTCGTTTTGAGGCTGGTGGTTGGTCGTCTTGGTGACTCGGAGCAAGTGTTTCATGCGCTGAAGAGCGAGCTCGGCTTCTCCCAGGCGTACACAGCCTACAGCGAGTTAAAGAAGCTTCATGATTCGAGGCAGTGAGCAAGCACCAGGCTGAATCAAATGGAGAAGTTGCGTCGTGATGGACAGCATGCGCAGGATCCAGACGTCGCAGCCATTGTCAATTTGCTGGAGCGGTCATAGTTGTCGAATTCCTGCCGCGCAAAATCCCTGAGTAAGCGCTTACAGCCGCCGATTTGCAACCTCGAGTCGAGTATCTTTCACAGTCTAGTGGACAACACCAGAACGGGTATGGCGTCGCTGGGTTTGCGCTCAGCGAATTCGTACAACGACTTGGTGGACGTGTATAGTGGCTCATTCTGTCGGATGTGTTACACGTACGCTTGCCACGAGCATGGTGGTGACCATCCACTGCCAGTCAGGCGAGTCGATCCTGTGTACCCTCGAGTTCGATTGTCATCGGACGATAACGTGGTTTGTGTTGGCAACGAGGTAACCAGTGGTCGTGATGACTTAAACCGTAAGGTAGCTGTGTCAAACGTGAGCAAAAAGCACCAGATCGGCGTGGCAAGTGATGCGGACATGAGCGTCGGAGACACTAAGCCTTATTAGCGACAACGCCAGCCCAAGGCGATGGCTGACCCGTCAGAGTATGTCGATGCGTCGCACATCTCGCTAA